AAACCATTTTTGGTTGTGCCATAGTTTAACCCTTCCCTTATTAATAGACATCTAAATTATCTCCAGGTTTTGACCATTCCAAAGAGTATTACCAGTAGTCATCTTTGTATGTATGTTGTTAAATACTAATGCCATTTATTTTTGTAAGATAGATTCCCTAAGTGGGATTGCTAAGTGAAAGAGTTTTTAATAACTTTTTGAGATTTCCTTCCCTAAGAGTTTGTAGTATTTTTCATTCCTTCCAGGAGTGTCATGAAAGTGTCAGTTTACCACGTCATGATCGCTCTGAATGTTATGCTGTGTCTCTCTTTTTCATGTTTGTCAGTCTGATGGGTGAAAAGTGGTTTCACTTGGTTATATTCCTGATTGCAAGGTGGTTGTCTTTTCATTTGTTTATTGATTGCTTGCATTTCAATTTCGTAAATGATTTATAGTTTGAAGTTTTATTTTTGGGTTTTTTTTCTTTCCACTTCATATCTTGTTAAATATTCTGTCCCTGTTTGTTTTAGACGGATATGTCCAAGCATCACTTCTTGATGTTTGGAAATGATATTGTCTGACTTTCCCTGTATCTTTGATCCTTCAGCACAGGAGAAAACGACGCCCCACATCTTTAACTTCTTCCACGCTTCCTTCACAAGCCACAGAGAAAAGCTCATATTTTCAGACCACTGAGATCTCACTCTGGACGGTGGTGGCTGCCATTCAGGCTGTGGAGAAGAAGATGGAGTCTCAGGCCGCCCGACTCCAGAGTCTGGAGGGGCGCACGGGGACAGCTGAGAAGAAGCTGGCCGACTGTGAGAAGACGGCCGTGGAGTTCGGGAACCAGCTGGAGGGCAAGTGGGCCGTGCTGGGGACCCTGCTGCAGGAGTACGGGCTGCTGCAGCGGCGGCTGGAGAACGTGGAGAACCTGCTGCGCAACAGGAACTTCTGGGTCCTGCGGCTGCCCCCGGGCAGCAAGGGGGAGGCCCCCAAGGTAGTCCCACGGAGAAGTTAGGCAAGAAGGAGAGCCCAGCCCTTTGATATCTAAGATTCTGAATGCCTGGCTTTTCCTTCATGGCTATGAGTAGAGGTGCTCATTCTGTGCCATTTGTGATTTCAGGTGTCCAGGTCACTGGAGAATGACGGCGTCTGTTTCTCCAAGCAGGAGTGGGAGAATCTGGAGGACTGGCAGAAGGAGCTCTATAGAAACGTGATGGAGAGCAACTATGAGACGCTGGTCTCTCTGAGTGAGTAGTGGTTTTATCCCTAGAATTATCTCCCAGAAATCCTACAATTTCTGGCCAGTAGCTTGTGACTCAGACTACACCTGTGACTCTAGTTGGTTTTGGATCCTCTGTTGGCCTGTGCTGGGTTGAGAAATAGGAGTCTCCACGTCCTCCCATTTATAGGGACTTTTGGAAAGGTCTCAGTGTTGTGCCTCTTATGTTTCTTCTCTGTAGTCACATCGTTCTTGATAATGTTTGCTAAGAGATAAGATGTCATTATATACATTCTAGTGTGATATGACTAGAGTTCCTCACTGACAAGAAACTCTGCAGTACCTGGGATGAGGCAGATAGCACAGGCTAACCAGAGCTTTTTCTGGTATTTGGCTGGAATCACAGCCAGTCATTGTGGTCTTAATGTGTATTTCATGTTGATTAGAAGTGCTGCTTAATAGGCAGAAATCTTTGTATGTAAAATGTTACCTATTATGCAATAAATGCATTTTGTTTGGTAGACAAAGTCTTTTAAAACGTAGGTCCATGGAGGAGTGTCAAGAAGGCCATCGTGCCTGGAGCAGAGTAACTGGGGAAGGAAGTAGGAGATGGCCAGCAAGGTGACCATGTGAGCTCGGCTGGGTCAGGGGCTCTCCTCATAGTTGTTTCCTTGTCTGTCACACTGCCTACCTTACCTTGTGGTGCCTTAGCAAGGGTGACACTGGATCCCCTGAAAGGAAGTATTGGCAAGACTTAAGCTGTGTCCCGTGAGGAAGCAGTGGTGGTGCTGGGGAGAGCAGCAGTGGCTCTGCAGCCCGACTGCCTCCGCCACAGCGGCTCCAGGGGAGGGCACTGGAGCAGCAGCTAGCCAAATTGGTCATTAGGATTGGCCAGAATTTTCTCGTTGTCCTACAGTGCTAGGGGAAGGCGTCAAGAACAGTAGCCTTTGAATCTTTTGAAGTTTTAGTTTCTACTCCCGGCTATTGGTCACTTTGTTCATTGGCAGCTGCCCAGCGTGGAGTGAGCTTTACTCTCTCCTGGGCTTACACTATGCTGTTTCCAACCCAGAGGTCCTTGGCCAGCCAGACGGAGAAGCAGAGTTGAGTACAGAGATACTGGGTGACCTAGAGGAGGAAGGCCCTGTTGGTGCCCACCCAGGTGAGTGGCTCCAGAATATTCAGTCTCCCTCCTGCAGCTCTCTGCAGCCTGCAGCGAGCTTTCCTACTATTGAACTGCCAAACACTGACTGTCGGTAACCTCATGTGGCATTTTCTTGTTCTGGACTCCTTTATGGCTCATTAAGTTCACCTGTTATATGTGTCTCTTAACTCCCGCTCTGTGGGGCCCTTAAGACTATTGACCATATCACCCTTCCTCATGTCCTGCAGAATAGAGTATGTGATAGGCTGTAGTCAAAACCTGCTGGAGGTTGAGAGCGGACAGGTCAGAACTTCAAGAGGGAAGGGAATGCAGGAAAAGCATTTGTTAGCAGGTCATTTGGGGAGACTATGCAGGAAGAACAGAGCTGGGAACATGAATTTTTAGCTGTAGGTTTAGTTTATTTCTCT